TGGTGGAGTCTCCTTTTTTGGAGGTCTTTAAACAGAGGCTGGATGGCTGTCTGTCGGGGATGTTTTTGATTGTGTGTTCCTGCTGGCAGAATGGGGTTGGAGTGGATGGCCCTTGGGGTCTCTTCCAACTCTGTTTCTCTTGTTTTAAAGTTACTCATTGTAGCCTGTAAACTTGGCCAATACTGGATAAGATCTGCCTTGCCACATGGATGGACAGGGCAGTTGGTACTGTCATCTTGTTCTTTTGTCGAGCATTTTTTAAAAAAACAACACCCAACACCATAATGACTAAACTACCAAACCTGACCTGCATTAGTAAACTTAGTTGTGTGTTTATTTTAAGGTACCTGCTCCCATGGCGTTTGGGGAAGGAGCCTCTTCAGCACCAGCTCAGGATTCGGCTTATGGAGGGCACCTTGAACTTCAATACAGAGGGCTGAAGTACAGATAGCAGAAGCCAGCTGGGGTGGAGAAAGAGAGGGCCTGCATCCTGTTCCCTAAAGGACTGCTCTGGTGATGACGTACTTGGTAATGTGCCTTTATATATATATATATATATATTTATTTTTAAACACGGAACCGCAGAGAAGGTTAGAAAAGGTTTGGTCAAAGGCCAAATGGAAAGAAACCGGCAAGCGAGAAGGCAAAGAGTTGGAGAGACATGTTCTTCCATCACATTACAGCTTGGATGTGACTTGAATATAAAAGAATTTGCTGAACTCAGTGGCCTTAATGTGTATAGTGAGGGAACTTTGGCGGCGGTGGCAGGGGATGCATGAGAAGTGAGCTTCCCACATCTTCTTTGTTGTTGTTGCATGTCTTCAAGTCAAGTCCAATTTAAGGTTACTCTGTCTTAGGGTTTTCTTGGTAAAGTTAATTTAAATAAGGTTTGCCACTGCCTTCCATTGTTCTAACCTTTGAATATCTGAAGAGATGTCATGTAGAAGATGGAACAAACTTGTTTTCTGCTACTCTAGAGACTAGAAAATGAACCAACAGATTCCAGTTACAAGAATAGAGATTCCACCTAAATATTAAGAAGAATTCTCTTGTCCTAAGAGCTGTTACACAATGGAGTTTTCTAAACAGCCATCTGTGAGGAGTGCTTTTGTTGTCTTTGCTTGAATGGTAGGGGGTTGAACTAGATGGCCCTTGCTATCCCTTACAACTCAGTGAATCCTCATAAGCTGAAGAAGTATGACTTCCTCCAGGTCACTCAGTGGGTTTCCATGGTTTAGTGGGGATTTGAACCTTGGTCTCCCAGACTTCTAGTGCAGAGTTCTAGTGAAGCACTCAAACCATCCGCATTTCTATACCCCGATATTTTTCATATCCGTTGGTACACCCATGCACTACTCCAGAGATCTTGTCTTTTGCTGTGTGGTATTTAAAGCTTTCTCCTTTTGCAGAGAGAGTGTTTGTATTTCCAATGTTGAACCAACCTTTTCAGGCCTCCCATTTGTAAAATGAGCTGCTCTTCAGCTGGAAGTGATATTGTATTGTGAGGATGAACAATCACATAATTAAATACCCTTTTGGAGGCCTTGGGTTTTGGAGTATGGGATTTGTCACCAAACAGAAGAGAGAACTTTTCTCTTTTTTCTCTGCCTGGCTTCTAGGGTTTTTTTTGTGGATGTTGATCCAGAGATAAGAGAGGAGAGTTGGTTGCTGGCTCACAGAGGTGTCAGGAGGTTTGGAAATGGGAGCCATTTCCCTAAGCAAAAACTCATACATTGTATGGAGCATCTGCCCATCATCCCTTACTATTTATTGCCTTTGGCTTAGAACAGGGGTTGGCAACTTTTTTTGTTGGGGGGGGGAATGATGGCGGGGGCTGATGTGCGCGTGCTTGCACACGACACCCACCGTTGTGCACGTGTGTGTGTGTGGGGGTGCCATTTTGAAACGCCCAATGGCGCCGTCGCCATTGGGCGTTCTGAAATGGCGCTCCGCGTCACGCGTGCATATGCACAATGCAGGGCACCATTTTGGAAGGCCCAACAGCGCTGGCGTCGTGCGAATTACGTTGGCGCCGTTGGGCCTTCTAAAATGGCAGCACGCTCACGCGCCGCAGCGGTGGCAGGACCGACCTTAGGCTGGTCCCAAGGCCTCCACAGTCCGCACGCGGGCTGTAGGTTGCCGACCCCTGGCTTAGAAGATTATAAAGTGGCATGAGGTGGCTGTCATGTCAGCTGACTAGAATGAGGGCGAAGAACCTTCAGCCTCAAGGCCAAAAACAAGTCTTGTTGGTCACACTATCTTGCCTTGCCTGGACAGCAGTGGGGCTAACCCACATTGGATGTCATCTTCTCCACTGACAATAATGAACCCTCATGGTAAGTGCCCAGTGCACCATTTCTAAGATTTTGGGTCTTTTCAGAAAAGTTCAGGAGACCTATCGGTCCTCTTTTGCTTCTTGATTGCTCCTTTTTGAATGGGCAGTTATACAGTATTCATGTGTTATTTATGTGTTTAATAGTTTCTTCCCATCTTTTCTCCCTGGTTAGGGCTCTGGGATGCTTAGTATTCAATAAGACAAACATATTGAAGTTATAATGTAAGTGAAAGCATTAAAAATTCAAAAGACCACTTTCAAATAGTCCAAAAAAAGAAAAATGTAGCAGTCGTCCAGTGAGTGAGAACCAGTGTGGTGCAGTGGTTTGAGCATTGGACTATGACTTTGGAGATCATGGTTCAAGTCCCTGCTCTGCCATGGAAATCCACTGGATGACCTTGCTTGAGTAACACACTCACAGCCCTAGAAAACCCTATGATAGGTTTGGTTGCCATAAGTTGGAAACAACCTGAAGGCACACAACAGCAACATCCAGTTAGCAGCCCTTGTGGTGGTGAATGAGATCAGATGCCAAAGGCCCATTTCAAATATAAAGGTCTCTGCTCCTCCTATCAGGAAAATAACAGGGAGGGAGCAATCTAACCTCCTTCAGTAGGATGACCCCAATTTGGTTCCTTACTCAGTTTTCTTGGGCTACATCTCCGATTCAACACTAATCAACATGGGATGTATCCACACTGTAGAATTAAAGCAGTTTAATACTACTAGCTGCCAGGATTCTATCCGACAGAATCCTGTGATTTGTAGTTTGGTGAGATATTCACCCTGACCTTTCAGAAAGCCCCGGTATTTCACTGAACTACAAATCCCAGGATTCTGTAGGATAGAGTCGTGGCAGTTAAAGTGGTGTCAAAGTGCTTTAATTCTGCTGTGTGGACACCCATGGACTTTGGAAAATCTACCTAGATTTCTCTTCTCACTTGCCCCTGCCCCAAATAAATTTAATCTATTTTTCCCCCTGCCCCCAATTGCTTAAAAGCCAGTTTGCCCAGAATGTGGCAGTGTACTTTGGCCTTTTGGAGTGCTGGTGACACCTTCAGTGCCAAAGCCTGGAAGATGAGGAGCCAAGTCTGGGAGTTTTAACTGTTCAGCAAGGGCAGAGAAATCTCTTTAGCTTGAGGGCTGAATTCTATTTGAGTGAAGTTCTTGGGAGTGCATTCCAGTGGTGAGAAAAGCCAAAGGCAAAAAAGGTGGGGCCAAAATGCCAGCCATATTTTATCTTAAAACTCTTCTAGTCCAGTCTCAGTCTATGGCTTGTAACTCTTAGAAGAGCGATTAAATTTATGTCCTGCCTTTCTCCTGGAGCAGGATCCTATGCCTTTAACACAGCATTTTAGATACAGTGGACTCTTGGTATTTGCTGGGGTTTGGTTCTAGGATACATTCTCCCCCCCCCCCATAGATGCTCAAATCTCATAAATGCAGTGGCATAGTAAAATGGTGACCCTTATACAAAATAGCAAAATCAAGGTTTGCTTTTTGGAATGTATACATTTTAAAAATATTTTCAAACCGCGTATGTTTGAATCCGTGAATAAAAAAATCCATGGATATGGTAGGCAGACTGTAATTTAAAGCAAGGTCTAAGTTAATGAAGTTGAGTTACAAAAGTTTAAAAAAATGAAATTACAGTATTATTAAACAGCCATAGTTAAAAACAGTTAAAACACATTTAAAACACAATTACTAATAAAATGATAAGAAATACAGCATGCTGCTTCTCACTCTCACACATACACACCCTCTTTGTTGCTGTTGTATGCCTTCAAGTCATTTTTGACTTATGGCAAGCCTTTCATAGAGGCTTCTTGGCAAGATTTGTTCAGAGGAGGTTTGCTATTGGCTTCCCCTGAGGCTGAAAGCATGTGATTTGCCCAGGATCACCCAGTGGGTTTCATAGCTGATCCAGGATTCGAACCCTGGTACACACACACTACTATGATGTAATTTAAATCTCAAAGGCCTGCCTGAATAGAAAGATCTTCACTTGCCAGTGGAAAGAGAACAGGGAAGGGGCCAACCAGACTTCCTGTGGAACAGCCACTGAAAAGGTTCTCTCCTGTGTTCTCACCAAACATGCCTGTGAAGATGTTTGGACTGGGAGAAAGCCCTCCTCCGTCTACCACACAAGGCAGATGGTGCCATGCAGGGAACAGTCCCACCAGTTCTTCCTGCTAATATCAGCTGGTTCTCCCATTTGTATCCTGTCAAGATAGACAGTGTTTGTCTGGTTCAGCATAAAGCAGCATCCTTCATAGTTCTTTGGTCATCCATTCACGTCTTTTCTAGAAGAACCAAGGGAGCAGATAGTCTCTCCTCTGGCCCTTTCAGAGCTCTCTTTCTTCCTCCACTTTTTCCTTTGTCTTTCCCCCTCCATCTTCTCTTTCTATTTCTCTCTTCCCAGGCCACTGCCAAAGTCTCCCCTGGGATGACCCAGTCTTGTATTTTAACAGCAGTGGAGTCCTTATTTAATTAAAGTGTTGACTTTAATTAACCAATTACAGATTCTAATGGGTACTGAGGTAATCATATGCTGCCTGGTTTTGAAAGCAGGATTATTGCTTCGTGTACTGTAACATGTGCGAGAGAAATGAGAGATCTGTCTGCTTTTGCAAAGAGGTGACTAAACTGGTCATAAATTAACATTTAACCTTAAGGAAAATCTAGTGCTATACACTCATCCCTGCACATTTACGGCTTTGACTTTTGCAGGTTTGATTATTCACGGATTTTATTTATATGTTCTCTCTAGGAATCTCTAGGTCCTCCAGTGCAACTCTGGTCAACTTTAACCAAAAGTCATACTGAAGATCTAGAGAGAACACTCCACTAGACATTTGTAGCTCCTCCAGCGCAACCCTAAGGTCAGTGTTTGGTAGATGTTGACCACAGAGTTGCACTGGAGGACTTAGAGATTCCCAGAGAGAGGTTCTCTCAGGCAAAAACATAAGTGTTTTTGTTATTTGTGGTTTTTCCACATTCATGGGGGTCTTGTGCTCCTAACCCCAGCGAATGTGAAGGGACAAGTGTATTGGAAAGAGGTTGCTCTTAGGGAGCTCAGATCCACAGTTGGAAATGTAAAAAGATGCATAGCTGAGTCTTTCCAGCATTACCATCTTCTCCCTGTCCCAACTGTCTCCCTGTACATACCAAGAGTGATTAGCACCTAATGGGGAAAAATGTTTTTTTCCAATAAGGAAGTATCATAGGATCATAGAATCTCAGAGTTGGAAGGAGCCAGAGAGGCAATCATATCCAACCTCCGGCCACTGGAAAATACACAACTAAAGGACTCCTGAGAGATGGCCATCCAGCCTCTGTTTACAGACCTCCAAAGAAGGATGGTCCACCATCCTCTCAGGCAGCCTATTCCACAATCAGACTGTTTTTATAGTTCTTCCTTATATTTAGATGAACTCTTTGCTTGAAATGTATTTGTTCATGTAATAGTCTTTGAAGAAGCTTGGTTTCTTCCAGCACAAAGGTGGGGAACGGAAGCCCTGGTGTGGAATCCAGCCTTTCTTGGGGTCCCAATCCAGGCCACTAAGGGGGGAAGCAGACGAGGGCGTCCGGGACGCCGCGGGACGGTGCGCCGCGGGACCGAGGCATCCACACCGCGGCACACCGTCGGCGCCCCTGAAAGGAGCACTAACTCAGTGCTCCTTTCAGAAGTCAGTGAAAGTGCGCCCCAAAAGCGTAGGGCGCGCTTTCACTGACTTTTCCGCCGCAGCGTATCTGGACGCTGCGGCGGGAGGTTGCCCTGGGAGTGCAGGCCGTGCGGAGGGCCGGCTGCTCCGAGGGCAACCTCGGGAGGAGGAAGGGGCGCCGAGCGTGCGGCTGCCCCTCCTCTTCCTTGCCTCGGAGATGGCTCTATTAGCCGTCTGTCGAGGTCCTAAGCTTCCCTAGATGTTCACAGAACCTTTTACCATGACAGATTGTGGCTGTATCCTCATTATTTTTAACATCTTTCTAATCTGCTCCCTTTGTCTATGTTTCTGCAGTTTTAATTTTTGTACGATGTTGTTGAATTACCCATGAGACTTTTTTCCCAGCCATGCTTCCACGATACCCAAATAGTGAAGCAGTTTGCTAGCAGTGTGAGAGGAAGAAGTGTGTGAAAGAAGCCACCTGGAATATAAAATGGTGGTGAAAGCATGAAGCAGTCAAACAATAGAGTTAGACTACTGTTTGTTTTTGTTCATTGCTGAATAATCTGTGTAGTACTGGCTCTTCAAATCCTCAAGCAGATCCTTTAACTGGTGGTGGAGGGGAAACTTCAGGCCAGGTACCTGGCAGCCAAATACAATTATGTAAGGTTTCCAAGATTTTTTTCCTTCTGATTTCCATTTTCGTGGCCAGATCTGTAGGTGCTTTTCTTTAGGGGAGGGTTAAACATACTGGGCTTAGTTGGTAAGGCAGGCTAATCTGCACTCTATTTTTCTCTCAGTTTTGCTGTTCATGCATGCTCAGTAAGAGATTCTGAAGGCAGCTGCTGCTTACCTTGTCTGTTGAAGGCAAGCACATATGGCTACATTAGGATCAGTGAGAGTAGAATCTGCCCCTTTTTCTAGCTTCTTCTTTGTTTACTGTATTGTTTACTGCAGATACTCTGCTGTGACCCCACACAAAGGTTCTGTGTTTCTCCAGCCATCTTTCCAGTTATATAAAGGTTGTGAATGAAAAGGGGGATGGGGGAGTGAAAAAAGCATTTATAAAAATGATATCACTGTCCAAGAAATGAAACAAGTCAAGGATTACTTTTTTCCCCACCAGCCTCCACTTTTCCTATGGTGGCCAAACAAACTGATCTATACTTCTTTTACATACTGGGAGTAGCTGATGAGGCAGACATTTTTCTCTGTTCATATATGCTCAGTAAGGGATTCTGGTAGCAGCTGCTTTTTACCTTGTGGTTTGTAGGCAGGTGCATGTGGCTGCAGTAGGACTGGCTAGTATTGAATCTCTTTACTTTTCCCCACTCAATCTTTGTTTCCTGTGGGTACACTGCTGCAACACTACACCATAAGGGTCCTCTCATTTGATCTAAATGTCATTTTTTGATTACTTGCATTGGTGGACCTCAGGGTTTCAGTAAAAGAAAATACAGTGGGTCCTTATTATCTGCTTAGGTATTGTTCCAGGACTCTCCACGAATAACAAAATCCGTGGATACTCAAGTCCCATTAAATTTAATGGCATAGTAAAACAATGTCCCTTATATAAAATTGCAAAATTAAGGTTTGCTTTTGGGAATTTACATCTTTTTGGAATATTTTCAAGCCACAGATAGTTGAATTCAAGGATAAAGAATCTGTGGCCATGGAGGGCTGACTGTAAATTGATTTTGCAGGATTTAT